TAAACCAACCTCAACACCGCGACGCTCTCTACATGCGCAGTCTGTGGGAATAAATCAAAGCCCCTCAAACTCTCCAGGACATATTTCCTCCCACCCCCTTTCTGCTCCATCCGCTCTATAATCATCCCTATATCACGCGCTTGTGTATGCACATTGCAGCTCACGTATACCACGGTGCTGCATGCGAAGCGAACCAATTGTTCTATGAATGGTTCATCAGAGCCCTTGCGTGGAGGATCTATTATCAACGCCGTTTTGTCTGGGGGGAAGTGCGAAACTGTCGAGAATATGTTCGCAGCGTCACCGGCCAGAAAAGAACATTTCCCTTGTGGGAGGCGGTTAATGATAGCATTCGCAGTAGCAGACTTGATTGACTCGGCGGAGAGCTCAATGCCTGCGACGGTGTCGAAATGTGGCGCAAGCATCAACGAGAAGAGACCTGAACCGCAGTACGCATCCACAAGATGCGTAGGCCCAGACGAATTCGAGGAAGGGAAGATCGCATCTCTTACGTATGAGGTAAGCGGGACAAGCACGGAATTGTTGTTCTGGAAGAATGAATGTCCCGGAAACTCGAAATACGTGGAATCCACGCGTTCACGGACAGTTGCCTTGTGGTTCGTGATGCAGATATGCTTCTCGTCCTCCGGACTAGGGGTAGACGATGTATCGGAGGGCAGGTGCTCAATTGAGTCGCGTAGAAGCAATGAAACACCTTTCTTGTAGCCCCATATATTCCTGATGAGATTCAGATATAGTTGAGTTCCCTATACAGTTCACCTACTTGATTATATCTTCCCGTATAGGTCCAAGTGCCGCATTTAACACGGGGGTTGCAATAGGACACTCCTGAAGTTGCTAAGTACATATCAAAACATTCCAAGCTCATTATTGTCACCTCAATGTCCAGCACTGTCCGCTTTCCGATTTCATTAAATCCAATTTTTAGCCAGCTGGGCTTATCTGTTGAATTGGCTGAACCAGAATCAGCTTCCTTACGTGCTTTTTTTGGTGGAGCCTCAAAATGCGGTGTTATCTTCGTGCGGTAGCCATATTGAAGTGGCGAGGCTATGGTTGGAAGTACGTCTGGGATGGTTTCTTTGGGAAGGTCTAGTCACGTGAGTGAAGGCCCATCAGAAATGATTAAATAAAAGTACTTGAGAAATTTTCATAAGCCTTGATGACCACGTTGCGCTTGATTCCAAGTTGAGTATCGTAAGAAAGCATCTAAGATGCGATAGTCAGCTGCCGAATAAGATGATGATACGTCTGTTCTAAACATGGGAGCTGATACTCATGCGAAAACTAAAAGACACGCAACTAACCTGATACTGGCAACCAGAACATTGTCCGAAGTAGCGACACTTCGCACGGCTGTTGTCGCGTAGGTCAAGGTTCGGTGAAACAACTTCAAGAAGGTCGGCGAATGAATGTAATCGCGAACTGCGATAAACTCGAACACGAATTCTTTCCCCTGGTAATGCAAATGGTGCAACGATCACCCAAGGAGCGGAAGATGCAGGAGAATGTGCCAGCGCATCGCCTGGTGTACGTGAAGTTTAGTCAAAATCAATAGATGAACGAGAAACATCCATATTCGCACCATTGGAAGATAGTGTAGATACCTCCACCTCCACCTCCTCACGGAAATCAAACGGTGAATCCCACTGGGTACCTTGTTGCAGAGCATGGTCGACCGTATCATCTCCTAGCAGTGCGACTATATCGCGCCATAGGACATCCTCTGAAGAGTAAGGCTCTGGCAAGATACGCTTCTGTTTCCTCTTTGCTGATTTCGACACTTTCTTGGAAGGTCCAGATACCACACGGACACTCGTATCTTCTTTTGTTACATTCGACTCATCCATGGGATTTTCCTCCAATCGAATCTTCTTCTCCACTGGCGCAGGAACCTCGAGATCGATTGTCGGTGATCTCACACGGGTAGACATTGCAGCCGATAGTGTCTTGGACTGGGGAAAAAAACTGGTTCGAACGTTACAAAGTAGACCCAAAGGACAGGCTGCTAGTCGACGCACGCGATGCGAAGGAGCTATAAGTCTTGAAATGGTGTGGATGGTGTTCGCAACAGTGACAACACTCATACCTTGATCATCAAGCGCACTCGTTACTTGAAAAACTCTTGCGCCAATTCCTTCGTGGCGCCCGTTCCGGACTAGGAAATCCACACGTGACTAAGCGTCATACTTCGGTTTATTCTTTGTCGCTTACTTATCCGTGTGCTCGGACTTGCAACCATCACATCATTAGGTTTTGCCAAGGCTTCTAATACGCTTTTATTACGTTCCAAATTCTGTGAAACCGAGCTTAGTTGTTTCTTTTGCACCATGATCATTGCTCTCGCCCGCTCACTGCTCTTGGAGCCCCCTGAGATGACAATGGGTGAGCCAGTGGATTCACCTACCTTCTGGTACAGGATTACTGTCAGTGCCGTCCTTGTGCTTGCGGGAGGTGTATTTGCAGGGTGAGTCTATGCAGTCTACTAGGTCCTTTTGTGCTATGTTTGATATTTTGTCATAGATTGACTCTCGGGCTGATGGGGCTCGATGAATTGCACCTGCGTGTCTTGGCTACGTCGTCAGAGGACTTGACGGAGAAGCGCAATGCGCAGAAAGGTGCGTTACCAAACAGCCCTTGTCTCATTTCCCAGTTGATAAAATTGATACACGACGACCAGTATTGAGATTGATGCAGAGAGGTCGGCATTGGGTATTAGTGGTATGTTGATGCCCGCACGCACGTACAATTAACTTATCCTTCGTTATAGGTACTTCTTCTGGCCAACGTTGTGAGTGATTATCTCAGGTGCCCATGTCTACAATAGCTAAACACCTGCAGGTCATCAACGAAAGTTTACCTATCTTTCTTGATGGTGCCGTAAGTAACAGAATTCTTGAAACACCAATTGATCGGCTCCGCGCCGATTAACTAATACTATTCGCGTTACATAGATTGGTGGCGGCATTGCGGCCGTTGTAATCTCTACCACAGCGATAGGTACGGATCTATCTCCTAGTATCCATGAGTTCGTTGTCCGCTGATTTTTCGATTCAAGTTATTTTTGGGTACGTTTTCGTCCCTCTCGAAGTCGGACTTGCTGAACAAGACGACATATTGTTCTTTTCCACAGAGAGTACGTGATAACAAAGTATCCAGTTGATCCCATCACATTTTCTGCAGAGTTATTCCACAGGCTGTTAGCGTCAGATATGGCCTCGCAATTGGCGCACGATGTGCCCCTTTCGTGCTCTGCCTTATGTATTTGTTTGGTAGGTGATGCTGACATGCATTGCGTTCAAGTCATAATAACTCCGGATGTAAAATAGCTCCTATCGCATACCCTACTGCGAAGCTCCTCGATTACGTTCTAGGCCAGAATGAGGGCCATACGTACAAGAAGGCTGAGCTCAAATCTTTTCTGCAGTTCCATCGCACGGGAGAGGAACCGCTACGGGATGACGAAATCAGTATATTGAATGGTGTGCTGGAGCTCAACACGAAGAATGTGGAGACGATCATGACACCCATCCAGGTAAGTGTTTGCGTTGATGATATATGACAATATCATTCATGTGTCTTGGAACCGTAGGACGTTGTGACGCTGAGCTCAGACACCATTCTTGATCACAACACAGTAGACGCAATGTAAACATCATAGTTCCAGTTTCCTGTTGTCTTTTTGACTAACAGCTCCCTTAGTCTCACAAGTGGCTACTCACGCTTTCCTATACATGAACCCGGGAATCCACTAGCATTCCAAGGGCTTCTACTCATCAAAAAGGCAACTTTCGATGTTATACGTCAGTCTACCTAAACGCTGAAGTTGTTTCTCAGTTGTTGGTATACGACCCGGCGCGGGCTCTCCCAGTCTCGGATTTCAAGCTCTCCATTCTTCCCGAAGCACATCCCAGTATAAATTGTTTCCAGGCGCTAGATTACTTGTGAGGATCTTCACTTGAACTTCCGCGGCTCTGATGCATGTGTTACAGTCAAACGGGACGTGCTCACTTACTACTGGTTAGCCGGACACCTGGATTAGCAGGTGGTGGAATTGGAGTGATCACACTCGAAGGTGTGTTTTCCCAGACAGCTCTGTCCTCTTACTCATATCCATGCTCCAGACATCATTGAGGTGTGCCTTGCTTGGACTCTGGTATATATCCAAGGATAACAAAGTTTTGCAGGAGATCATATCAGAAGAAATTGTGGATGAAACAGATCGATACGAGGATAATCAAAGTAAAAGACGTGCGAGACGAATGACTACGGCTACTGTGATGCGCGGGTTCGTGTTCCATTGTCTCTCTTCCACGCCTGTTGTTGATTCTTTCAAGGATTGTGGAGCGAGAACGAAGTTTAACGCGACGGCCGTCCTCCGACCGGATACCCCTGTTGCGCGATACACCTTTCACGCCATCCACTCCGCGTTCTGATCTCAGTTATCCGAATCCTCGTTACGGTGCCATACCCAGCCAGTCCCCAAGATCGTGAAGATCGCAACCATATTCATAGGGCGTACGCTATCGTACGCTGCCGGAGTTATTGGATGAATCTATTTGTTTTAGTATCTTGACTCGTCGCTTTGCTCCATGGTATCACCAATGGATTCAATTGGTTAGCTTGGTTTTTTCATCCGGGCACGCACATTCACGGGATAACAGCTGTGTCTATCCCGTGACGGCATGCACTCTGTGAAATAGACTTGGTGTTGGGTCCGAGATTCCATAGTTTTATCATTCCATACATGTTATGGTGCTAGTCTGTTGAATTTGTACTTCAGTAAAATTCACCCAATGTACGTAGGCTACGAGGTATTCAGGAAACGTGTGGACTCTGAGTTCTCTACTATGAGCGACTGCAGAATGAACCTTATGATATTATTGCCATTGACGCAAAGCCGATATGCATGAAGACTGTATGATATCCGGAGAACTTATTTTCAGAATGTTGTAATGATGCCTGAAGGCGCCATTTCCGTGTCTGCAGGTGAAACCTGATCACTGTTGACTCGTGATCATGGTACAGAACGCTAGGATAGTATATATGTGATGTATTCCGGTGTGTATCTGAGGTATGTATGTAGATAATCGACCTCTCCTTCGTGTTGGTAATATCTAATGACAAAATTACTGACTAGTGATCATCGCTTGCCGTTTCATCGAGCTCTCGTAGTCGTTCCTTCAGAGGAAACATCAATAGTGGTTCACCTGTCTGGGTAAATCTTCCGCGAACTTACCTCGAGAGCAAACAGGTGCGAATCATGTGATGCTGGTGCAAGCTGACGGACCGATTCCGCCAGACGATACAGATATTCCTGACATAAATGGTTTCAAATTTGCTCTGACCTGAAGGAAGCTTGACAAGCCTTATTCCGTCCAGAGGGGCCCTCGGAGACCCATATCCGCTGTGCCAAGTCCTCTAATGGTTCTGAACCAACTGATCGCATCGTCATTAGTCCGAACTTGAAAGAGGAAAGTGGGATGCTCACTGAATGACGGGTTATCTGGCCGACCGACATAACACTTGCTTCTCGTGAGATCGGCACAACTCAGTCAGAAACACAACGCGTACGAAAGCCTGAGTTAAGGAATCAACGATAGGTAGGTGAAACAAGTGAAGCGTGTTGCGTACATCCTGAATTGCAATTCTTTCGATCCCATTCTCTATGGTATAGACATGCAGCGTCTCCATTGTGTATCCATCCTGATCCATTGTACTACCTCGAATGATCGGATACTCGGTTCTGTTGAGCGACGTACCTTTTCTCTGTAATCTTTTCAGACACCTCAAGTGTCAATACGAACTATGGAGCCTTGACATCGTAGGCCATATCGGACTCACCCAAGTAATCCCGAACTTCTGCCTCATATTCCGGGTCAATCGTGTATGCTATGCCTGTGGAGAGGGACATTATCAGCAAGGAGTACCTCCATCGGACGAAAGAACCTTACCCCAAACAATATCTTCATTCGGGAACGCATCCTATGTACTGTGTGTTTGCGGATATCCTAAAAGACGAGAAGAGATGGACTCACAGACTGAGAAAAGCGATCCCAATCCTCCTTGTGGATAAGAGTCACCACACGCCCCGGATTCTGCGAGTTCACGATCAATACTACGTCAGGAGTTCCGCGGACATGTACGATAAGTGCCAGGACACACCTCGGGTGTGCCACGATGATCATGCGATTTCTGAGCGAAGCGCCGTACATAGCCTTTCAGGAATCCAGAGGCTGCAGAAAGTCATATTCATCACATGTTTGCTAAGCTAAAATGGATTGATCGCTCACTCTGGGATTGGACGTGAGGTGGTGGCTATACCAGCAGTGATCGCAAATCAGTTAGTGACACCTTTCGTGGCTGCCTGTCCTCACCTTGAATATCAATGAGCCGTATCCAAAGACTACGAATGGAGCATTGATGGACCCCATAGACGCCCTGTGAGTTAAGCGAATAATACTCGGAGTACAATGAGTTGGCGCTATGCAAGAAGGCAAGAACTAGGCGATAGTATAGACGCCGAAAATACTGCGGCTACATACGCTATAAAGGGAAGCAACTTCATTTTATGATGACCGGTAACTACACAAGTATGCCAATACTGTCATGTGGCAGCGTGACAATACACCACGCTGGGCCACGTAACAACTGCATAGCATAGCGGGTCGGAAGCTCTAGCCAAGACCAGCGGGTACATACTCTAGTACAACGAACGAACGACTGTCATGACACGCATACTGGTGTAAATCGGTTCCGGGTATTTCTAGAGTGTACACTTATCCATACAAGGGAAGACGCTAAAGGGATCCCCTAGTCGGCTCTAAGACAAAAGGAGTCAGGCATGCCACAAATGCGGTTGATCTGCATTACCTAAAATTATACTTCACTCTTCCCCTCCATTCCACATATGCTGGCCAGATCCAATACAAAATGTGTGCAATTCGCATGTACCGGGGCATAAAGACCGTCTTCTCTTTATGATCAATGGCCTGGACACAACGTGTCGCCACCACCTCGCGTCGCAAGCCATGTTTATTTGGGTCAGCTTCGTGTATAACGGGGGAAGAGTTGAGCGGTGTGTCAACCGCGGACGCGCGGAAGTCCCCCTCGATCGTTGCGGGAAGGAAGGACGTGAACGATATACGGGGGTGCTCTATTGCGAGCGCCTGAAAGAGCATTTGGGAAGCTGATTTAGTAGAAGCATAGAGGGTGCGTGTTGGCGCAGGAATGATTGCCGCCGCACTCGAAAGGAGAAGGATAGACGGTGAGATGGAACAGGAAGTGAGGAGAGGTATCTAGTAAGTTGGACATTTGTGAGTGATCAACGGGTTGCATGGAGACGTAATCTCACAAATGTGATCGCAGCAATGTATGGTCCGAAGAAATTGCCATTGGTGGCTGCTTTAGCGACACCAACGGCGTGGTGAATGGCTTCAGCAGTGGCGTGTGGCGGAGAGAGACCATCTTTGGAACTAGTGACTCCAGCAACTGTCATCAACGGTTGAAGGGCAGAAACACCAGCCGTGATTATGAGCGTGTCGATACCATCCCACTCTGACACATCACCTCAACGACAGCGGGGAACAAAAGGGACTATGATACATACCTTTGATCACCGTGTCACGCACCTTTGTCATGTCTTCCACGCTTGCGCAATCGCCGCACACACGCAATACACGACCGCTTTCGCATACCCATTCCTTCCGGCATTCCTCAGCAGCCTCATCAAGCATTGATTCCCTCCGTCCTACCAAGCATATCCGTGCACCTCTCTTCGCATATTGATGAGCAAGGGTACGACCTACTCCGCTCGTTGCACCTAGTATGAGGACTCTCTCTTGTGTTGGTGGGATCTGAGTGAGCCGTGGTGCAGGCCGTAAGTACCAGAAGAGAAGGAGGGCAAGGGGCAGGGCCCCAAGCGCAAGTTTAACCGTTGTAATGTTGAAATGAGAATCAAACATGGCAAACCACAGTACCATAGATTTTATGGGGGTTTTAATATTGTCGTATTCAAGTTACATCAGCAGAAGATCCACGATTTTTGGTCAAAAAGAAGTTTGACAGGCTTACGGTGAGCCTATGATAGTAGTACGACAGCGCTGTAGTTAGAGCCACGCGATTGGTGGAACGGACTTCTCCGCAGTACATTGCATCTCTGCGAGCCTGGAGTTCTGGATCTGCCCACGGACCGGTTAGCAAAACTCAGCAGTTTTCCCCACAACACACGAATATGAGACCAATGGCACATTATATTGTGGTCAATAAAATGAGAACAATCAAGTACGCGTCCGAGAGTTTAGAGCAAGTGGAAAACATGCTGGCATCACAGCCCCATCCATCGCACAACGCACATGGGATAGTTTACTTTGCATATTGTAATAGCCGCATGATATCAGAGATTACTGAAGTAAGGGATAAAGGTACTCGATTTTACTCACGTTGGCCGACGGAAAACATGTTTATCAACCGGAAAATCGGGTGTTACAGAGCGAAAATATATATACGGCCGAGAGACCCAAACGAATATATAAACGGGTTCCTATGCTTTTAGCCCACGCATTATTGGTACATGCAAGATACTGTCTTTTGGACTCGCCTTCCAAATTGTGGACCAAGTTGGACCCGACTTTGCGATCATGAACCATCGAGGCTAATTTTTAGCTTTCTGTCTTTCCTGTATAAATGAACTCATCATGGCCACCATAGCAGAATTACACCGATGGGCTCGTGATTATTCCCATGAGAGAAGGAACCATCATGGTCTCCCTCTGATTCTATTTTGCATAGCAATTTTTGGAGGCAAGATGGTTTCGAAAGCATGAATGATTTTTCCGTCCTTGAGTCTTTATGATCAGAATTTCGAGAAGCTTCAACTTGTAACATAAACGTTAGTAAGGGATGTTCCGCTTGGAAGGCTCTAGTCATTTACTTCACATTCGGCCCTGATGTTAACCTCTACTCCGCCAATATCCAAGTAGGCGACTGTCCTAACTTGTGCTCACTCCCCATCCCGTCCACTGAAGTACTGCCACTGTGCGTAAATTTGGATATACGGGTCTCCACGGGCGTCATAGGATAGTCCTGCGAATTGCTTTGTTCCGTTCTGACGGTTGTCCTTCCAGTTGAGGTTGAGAGGTAACCGCGATGTTTATTCATGGCGATGCGGATAAGCACCATGTAGAATGTAATCGATATGATCGGCATTAGCTAGTCGACCATAGCTCAGTATGTTTCGATATCACTTAAAAGGGGGATTACCAGGTCCACCATAACAAACTCTCCATTGTTCGAGCAGAGGAAACAGACTAGTGCGGTGACAAGTGCCAGGGAGTACAAAATGGCGGCATCCACGAGCACGCGTACTATTGGCATCAAGGTACCCCTCGTACCGGCGCGAGCGGTAGTGATATTGCGTTCAATAGCCCATATTCGGTATGCCATTAATCCTGGACACATTCACAACTTCTGCACCGTGCTCGCGGAAATGAGCTTACCTGAACCCGACACATTAGCTGCCATAGTTGAGACAAAATATGCCATGATATACGTCGCAAGGTTTTTGGAGAAAACGCTAGTAGTGGACTCGGATTGCGAAACACTGTAGACTGCAATGGTGCCAGTGACTGCAAGGTAATATCAGATTACACAACTTTCTCAGGCTGAGCATTATTGCAGTTTTACCTGCGACGCTACACCACAGCAGGCCTGGTAGGATGATAACCCAGATGGATTGCCAAACAACATAGCAGCGATAAACCTTTTATCAAATAAAGCACTTCTATTAGCCTAGAGGGTCCTGGTATAGCAGACGAAAATATGAACCTACCACCATCCCATCAGCAAGTAGAGTTTGCAGGACGTATAACGCATGCTTGATCACATACGTTTCTTGTGCAACGTCTGCGAAGAATGCTGCTGGTCCTCCTGGGTACGTGTCGCGATACTTCACCAGTCCATCTTCCACACGAATGATGCTCACGACAATGTGCTTGGTGAATGTCAGTAGGTGCCATGCCACAGACGTGAAAAGCAAGAAGGACTCGCCGCAGTACTCAATAAAAACAGCAGGATAGCCACTATGGCGATTGGGCGATTGATGTCTCGCACATGCTGTTTGTAGGTCAAAGACCACATGGTGCCCATAAACATGAGCACTGAAAAGCCTGAAGAGATGAGTTGACTTGAGCGCCTTGATGCACATGGGACAAACAAACCCGATGCCCGATGCTCACCGTATAAAATACCTTCCAGCACTGTTGCCATTAAAGCGCCGGTATCGAATGGGATACCACTTGAAATCATGGCGAAAACTGGAAGATGCGCAACAGTGTATATCTTCATCAGTTTCGTTATATAGAAATGAATTGTGTTATCATATGATATCACTGATCCATCAGGCGGTGCTTGGGGATAGATCCGGTAGCTTGCAACGCCTTGATGATGATGGCCTTCGAATTCACAGATGGGGTGATCTTGAAGGGATTTTAGTAACGAATTGATAACAAAAGAGTGACTTCCTTCTACTTATTTGGTCTACTTGAGGCTAGACGATGTTGGATGCGGCCGCAGAGCGCACCTCTCCTGGACTGGTGTGGGGTGATGTTTCAGGTCTGCGCGAGCCGCTCAGAAGCAAGTCTGATACGGCGAGGTTGTCTACAGTGTGATAATCAATAATGAATTATGTTACACGGCTGTTGCGATAAAGGAACTTTACAAGTAGCTGCTGTAGTATTTCACTGATGCAGTAAGCTGAGTTTGTAATGTATCGAGCGCACGATCATTCGATGCAGCTCCAGCCCGAACCATTCGAGGCTCGATATTTTTAGAGGACACAAGTCAAATTCATGTTGACCGTGACGTTCGTGAGTCACGAGTCCGTTTTGTGTCTGCAAATGAACTCATGAGCGAGCGGGAATCAGATCAGGCATGGACAGTCGACCGATAATGTGGTCAGTTTACTTTGTAGTCTCCACGCGCCGTATTGTACTTAGATATCACAGAGACACGTGTGGGCAGGGTGGGCTGATGCCCCGCTAAGCCAGCGCGGTTCGTTAAGTCCTCTTCCACATCAGCTGCTCTGATATGCTCTCCAACATGCAGGAAAAACGGTAAGCCCTCTTCAATGCTCTTACTTCCTGCTTTCAATATCCGCATCTTTTAGCAAGCCGAAGCTCTCGGCGCATACTTTTCCAAGACCCTGTTTACCAAGATTTATGCCTCTCCCCTCAAGCGCGCTGCCACCACTGCAGCACTTTTTCTTGCTGCTCAACCTGCCCCACAGCCACCGCATGACTTCACCATCGAGTCCATAAAGGAGCAAAAATTTGGCATTGCAGAGGGGAAACCGTGGTGTTCTCCGGATAACAGGTCTTCCAAGTCGCTCTCAGAGTACATGAGCGAGGGCAAGTACCCCACACCGCTTCCGGGTGAACGCTTTACGGACGGTGAGTCCGATGAAGATTTAGCAGCACGTGCGATGCAAGCCGTGGATGAAGTGATCATGCCACACGTACGTAGTGCAATGCGGGCTAGGCGTGCAGAGCATATCGCACTCGTAAGCCATGGGCTCTGCATTAGAGCGCTCATTTGCGCGTTGTTAGAAAGGGACTCCAGAAATATTTCCCCTTCGCGTGGGTACACTGGGATGCAGAACACGGCGTGGGCGAGGGCAATCATTGAAATGCAGGTCAGTTGATGTTATGTTCCTTTTTTATGCGGATGCTGATGATGGTATACAGGACGTTGCAGATGGCACACCATTGGAGATCACTGATGAAGACAACCCTCTGATCGTAACAGTGACGGACTTCGGTCGTACGGATCATCTCGCCAAGCTTGTACGTCCATCTGACTTCCACCATATATGGGGTTGCTACTACTGATTCTCAGAAGCCCAACGCCGGCGGGACCGGCAAGATTGCATACGACCCAAAGCAACGGGACATTAGAGCGTTCTTCGATGGTGCGGCGAATACCAAGGACTGTGAGAGCGATGCACTGGATGGAATCAATAGGGAAGCAAAGAAGTGACCTATTCACACCTTCGCAACGATGTCACTAGCAACCCGCAATTTTCTGCCTCCGTGCAATCAGCAATATATCTAGACTTACTATAATCACAGAGGCCACGAACAAATACCTCAATACGCCGTTCAGATTGGCGCCAACAGATGGACCTTAAGCTTCATCTGCAAGCTTCCAAAGAAATCAACTGGTCGGTTGTTGATTTACTCGACCCTTTAGACATTGCTATAAAGCACGTCTTCCAGCGATTTTCTCACATCATTTCGTGCAGCTCCCCAGCGATCTGCGCCTAGTCTCCCGCTGATATCAACCGGCTTCTTTCACAGAATACCGTGAACCTTCCGATTCTGATATCTGTACCTTCGCGGACACTTAAGATGTCCTCTCCTAGTGTCTCATCTCGTCCAACAGTCACGCACGATTCATCATCACTCCATGCCACCTTTCAAACCTTCCTTTCCAGACTGGATGATTCTCACTTCGCCAAAGATCTCATGCTGATATGTCCGTGTCTCGGCTGTTCGACAATTCATTGATAGACGGAATGTCATTCCTGAGGACGATGTCGTGGTTTTATCAGAAACTGATATTGATGCGAATTCCTGATATTATGATCAACTCAACCAAGCGACTTGCACTCTCTATATAACAGCGTTTAAGTGACTCGTTGTAATACAAACATGACCAGCAAGTCATCTCCCAACGTACAATAATGCTTGACTAGGCATATGTAAAAAACGTATGTCCAAAATTCATCTGCGATGTCGCGCTAAATCACCATTCAGATCAACAACAAGTCGACCTATCGATATGATTATCTTCGCTAACTATGCAATTGCTGATGAGTGGTGGCGTGGCATGTCCACTTCCTCCATCATTGGGTTCTCGGACAGTGTTCGGCATGTCAACGCCCAGTTCTATATCCATGACATGGGGCAGGCCAGCGTCGTCGACTCACTCACCGTGAATGGGATTGCAACCCAACTCCTTGGACAGGTGTTTTTTTTTCGTTGCTGGACGACCTAGGTGGTCGTAACTTGAGCGCCATTCCATCGTCTGATTGCGTGAACAACATTAGCGGGAATTCGTAAGTTAGTTCCCTGCAGGACATTTCACATCTGGCTGATAGCAGACCCACCAAAGTTTCTTCATTCGCTCCAAGGTATCCCGGTACTGTCCCGTATTGTTCAACAGCAACGCGACAAACTCGGTCTATGTTTCGCGTACCAAACGCGCTCGCTTCCGTGTTAGTGTCTCTGACAAGAGCACTGCAGAGACCATCATGATTGGCTCTGACGAGATCATCATCACGTTGCACACCGTCGATCTGGTGACCTTTTGCACAAAGGTGTTTGGTCATAGGCTGGAGTTCTGAAGCCCATACTCATTGGATAGCTCCAGATATTGTTAAATTGATTTTCTTAGTACTCTTTTCTAGTAACGATTTCCACAGGGTATTCCGCCTGTAGGAGCAGGGATCATTCTAAGTTTCCAGTCATGATCCAGGATACATTGTGGATTGCTTTACGCTTCATGATTCCCATTTCTCATACATCTCAAATTTCTCGTATTCAGCGCTGGCCGCTTTCTCCTATTTGCGATCACTAGCAGCCTTTGTATTTCCCTTATTTTATCCAGTAATGTATACCACACTCGGGTTCGGGAAGGGTGACACTATTCTGGCGATCGTAGCAATCATCATAGGCTAAGTCTTCGTTCTCCTTCCATTGTCATCCTGAATGATGATACCTGGAGACCCTGGATATTTTGGCATTACGGGAGCAGATACGGAACAGCAGTCGATATGAACGGCGATAACCCTAGACAAACGAGGAGCGACGGTACCGAAGTAAGGCATGGTTCAATGAATTATGAATCCTACTGGCAGTGACTAGTGATACGGCATTCTTACTCTTGTTGGCCGTATGTAATACAAGGGTTTGGGTATGCAAATTATAGGCTCCCTGAACGGGCATTGAAGCTTGAAGATTCTGCCCGACTTTAGGTAAATGCTAGCTGCCCTTCTTTCCATTGCCTTCTCCGGCTAGTCGACGCTCTCTTCTCCGCTTGACATCCCAATTATAAACTCTAGCAGTGTTGACTTCCATCACCGTCAGCTGCTCTCGCATAAACTCCAAGTCTTCGATCGTAGCTTTTAAGCTGGCCTCTGCAAGATCCAATTTGGATCGCAGGAGCGACGCAGCCTCTGACAACTTGTACGATAGCATAACATTCGCCTTTTACGAATCAGATATCATCGGGAAATCACGGTGGACAACTAAACTCACCCCTAGCCATAGATAGACGGTGTCAGTGTCCTCGAGTTCCGCTTCTGCGAAAAGCGTGTCGTTTAATTCGAACGTTGTGGTAAGCGGCTTTTTGGAATTGTCGGAATTTTCCTCGTCGCTGAGATCATCCTCCAAATCGTCGTCCTTGTTCTTGCCTTCCTACATGATCGTCAGATAATGTCGACGCACGTGTTCGCAGTGACAAACTCACTCTTTGTTCTTGCAGGAACTCCACCATATGTAATGTCTTTCTGATATCGGGGATCTTGTCTTCCAGACCTTTTCGTCGTTGTGTTAGGTTGGCATCCATATATCGATACTTCCTGGATTTCCTTAGTTTCATTATCGTCACAGAGTATATATCAAACATACGCGATAGCATCCTGGAAATTCTTCAGGGGACCCTCAACCGCGCCATCTGGGCCTCCCAGATATTCTTCGACATTTGCCTACATCATTAAGCATGAGCAGAAGATCATTGATCTACGTTTGTTGATACGTGCGATGAATGGAGCTTTTGGAATACCCCGTGGATTTTTCTCCTCTTGAAATACCGACTTGGCAGACATGGTCGTAGAGGCTGCAGTCTTCAAAGCTCAAACCCCGCTTCCAATCATCATGACGTCCGGTTTGCGTCCGGTCGGAGTTGGAATCGATTTTTCCTCCCGTCCTCACGATTTTTTTTCAATTCTATGATATTATCCTGTTTGATTGTGAAAAATCTCTTCACATGCTTGACGCCAGATCGCCTTGGAATGCACTCCGTACAACAATTGCAAGGTGCCTCCTCCGGAATTATCACAGATGTGAAATTTTCACTGAAGCAAGGCGGCACATCACGTCGATTCGGTTTCGTTGGCTTCAAGACGGATCAAGAAGCAAACGCTGCAACCTGGCAACTGCAAGGGGCTGGTTCGATCGCACCTTCATTGGCTCGACGTGAATTAATGTCGTGGGTGTTGTAGTAAGTTTTTTTTCTTTCCAAGTGTCGTTATTTTCTTTTAAAATATTTACTCGCAGGGCGTGAAATATGCTCCAGCTCCTCGACCAAGTAAGAGAAGACGCCTTGCCGATACTGCTGCAGATTCAGGACCGTCATCGTGACCACATGTTCACAAGGCGAATTTCATCCAGCACTACCGGCGGGCCTTTCTCGAGACAAAGATGGCATCCAATGGATCAAATAATAATGAGACTGTCTCGGACCTTGAATGGATGCGACGACGTATGAACATGGTGTCGGATTCATTACCCGATCAAGTCTGAGAAAACCGAGGATGAGCACGGGGTGAACCAGAGCACCATCCCTGAGGAACGCCAGTACTCGACAACAAAAACAACCATGCAGTCTCGTTTATTCCTTCGAAATCTTGCTTTCTCATCTTATGTATTGAAGCCGAGATCATGGAGTTATTTCAACCATTCGGGGAAGTTGTAAATGTGAGTATCTCGTAGCCTTGTTATGTATTCCCTACATCTTTCGCTTTTTTCTTGATGATAAACACTTAGGGACATCTGATCCTCCAGGGATGTGCTGATCCCCGGGAACCAATAGTAGAAAAATTATCTGACTTTTATTCTCCTTTGACAATTTGTGTGTTGATGATCACTTCGCTGACTTATCACTATCCTACCAGGTGCATATACCTTGTCTAGGAAGTTGAAGGGTTTAGCCGACGTGACCTTCAAGCAGCCGATGTCTGCCCTCCTGGCGTATGAGGCGCTGGACAAGATGTCCCTCCAATGGCGTCCTCCCTACATCATCCCTGTCTCTGACCATAAGGGCAAGTAGAGGGCGAGGGGGGAAAACAAATGTTTCAAGATAAGGAGAGTTCTCGGCGTAAAACCACAGCTGGGCGAGATTTCAATTGGAGTGTGTTGTACATGAATGTTCGTCAAGCCTTTGTCATGTTATGCACTATATATCCAGATCTTATGCAATGCATGTGCAGAGCTTAATGCAGTGGCATCGTCTATTGCTGTTCGGATGGTTCCGAATTGTCCAGGCAGATATTCTGAAATCTGAGTCGGATGATGCAGCAGTCAAGTTTGCGCTTGCGGAGATGCACATTATCCACGAGACGAAGTCGTACCTCGAGTCCCAGGGAATCGTCTTATCGTCCCTTTTTTTCACGAGCGACTACGATATTTGTGAAGAACATCCCCTATGACACCACTGCGAACAGATACGTGAGATGTTCGAGTTACACGGGGAACTCAACCGCGTTATCGTACCACCGGCAGCTACCATGGCGGTGATGAAATTCGGACAGGCAGATGAAGCTGCCAAGGCCTTTTCAGCTGTAGCTTACCGACGTCTCGGAAGTAGTGTGGATTACTTGGAGAAGGGTCCGATGGGCATGTTCTAGGAGACTGCGGATGCAACAGGAAACAACAACTTCAAACTAATTACTCTTTAATGATGCACAGTGCCGACAAGGATATGCAGGCATCACCTCCTCCAGTGAAACGACAACGCACGAGCCACTGCAGAACATCCGAATCATTAATTGAGCAGTCAGAGTTTTTGTTTCCGACGGGGACACTGTGATTGGTGTCGAAGGGGAATCATGGAATGCTCATATGTTCTGAAAATTTTGTGGACATGCTCGAACTTCTGTGGCCGGCCGACATCGAGAGAATACACGAGTGTCGTCTGATCATTTTGTCGTAAAATTCCGCGAATAACTGGCTAGTCCTGACATGGCTGTACCAACACGAGTAAGCCATCTTATCCGTCAAACTATAATTGTATAGCACCACGTCTCTAGGAAGTTTAATAACCTCACTGTCGTCTTTGATACCATAGCTGGAGCCCTACGACTCTCCAACAAATATGACATTGCGGACTTCCGTCATATCAGCTACAGCTGTTTCTGCCTAGCCCCAAGACTTCACCAAAATGACTTATGCTGCATTCTCTCATGCCGCTAGTGAGCTTCCCTTTTCTCCTGTAGATCGGTCTAAAATGTGCTCTGGAGGTCATAAGCCTTGCGCAAGAATGTAATGTCCCTAGGATCCTTCCTGCCTCATACCATGCCCTTTTGATCTTCCGTTGGAGTCATCTAGCCGAAGGCACCTCTAATTATCCCCCTGGGTGATTCATACTTGGACGCAAACACCCTCAAGATCATCTATACGCAATCCTGACTAGTGCAGACGACCGGCCATGCGGACACACCACAGCTAGTTGCGAGAACGCACTCAGACGTGGCTCAGCTCATCGTTGAGGCCGGATGCTTTCTCTCCGTGGCTCCTTCGTAACTTGCAAACTCTTGCTATCAACAGATATCCAGGCTTGAGTTTACCATTACACCCGCTGTGATGTGAACTTTTCGTCAGCGAATCAGCGGGTTCGCTTAAGACCTTCACGAAGTAATTTTATACTACGAGATGTTTGTGTTACTCACCCTATGAGAAGACAGCAAAAGTTTCTTGCACGGGTTTCCAGTACACAACTGGCCAAATTTTGGGAACAACATTTTTTAGCTTCCGTGTTTCTTCACACACTTTGTTGCAAATGACATCAGGATGCAAAACATATATTGATTTTTCAGCACGTGACTGACGCGTCGTGTTTATCTAGGCAAGCACGCACAAATATTCGTAACCGGTATAAATATCGCGGAATATCCTGGAATCACCCCGTCGAATATCTTGCCAGCATACCCCACATTCAACGATATTCCGCCAACATTATGATTTCTACTACCTTCTATGTTGCTTCACGTTTCACCATTACGGCCTTAATCTCGGTATCGTTCTTCGAGGAAACGGTTCTCCGTCCAATCCGATCTGGACCAAGGAAGGCTGCCGCCGGCCTCGTCGTGTCGGCATTCAAGTCGACAATTATCTTGATCCTAGCCGCTGACGAGGCTGCTTCAATGTATCTGAGCAACAATACCAGTGCACCCTCCACTAGCGAGCACGTTCCCGATGCACCGCCAAGGCTGCCGGGAACGGCGTGCCCGACGTGCAATTTACATCAAGGTACTCCAGATCGTCACTCGCCCGCGAATTTCGTGTTGCCAGTTCCAGCCCAGAATTCTTTTCTACCGTCATCTCCATCTTCATTGTCATCGTCACCTGTATTCAGATCGACAATGTCACACAACATCACTACTCTCGATTTGTCATATTCAGGCAATTGTAAGCGTCTCTCCATCACATCAAGTACTACCCTGGTAGCCTGCGACGACGACCGCTTGCAGGACGTCTTGCTACCATTTTCACTGTCATCGTCACCTGTATCCAGATCAACAACACCCAACGACATCACTACCCCCGATTTGCCATATTTCGACAATTGTAAGCGCCTCTCCATCGCATCAGATACTACCCTTGTAGCCTGCGACGACGACTACTCGAAGGACGTCTTGCTACCATCTTCATTATCATCGTCACCTGTATTCAAATCGACAATGTCACACAACATCACTACTCTCGACCTCTCGATCATATCAGATACTGCCCTGGTAGCCTGCGACGACGACCGCTTGAAGGACGTCTTGCTACTATTTTCATTATCATCGTCACCTGTATTCAGACCAACACCCAACGACATCACTACTACCCTCGATTTGTCACATTTCAGCAATTGTAAGCGCCTCTCCATCGCATCAGATGCTACCCTTGTAGCCTGTGATGATGACTCAAAGGACATATTCTCTGACAAGGTACGGATCATCATATCTAACTTGACATTGCCTAACATTCGGTTCGCTCCAGTACAACTACGCTATGCCACAGCCTGGGGTGCAAGCACCAGCGCACACTACAGATAATGTCCGCATTGATGCCCCAGCCCCAAGCACAACTATCGACATCATTAGCCCCTTCTGTATGCCATATGTTCGGCCACTTGTCTTAGTGGACAAATGCCAGACAACGCCTACGTGTACTGCTAGCCATTCTGTTCCTGGATCCGCACACCTCACAGGTGCCTTGCTTCAGACGATGAAGACCAATAACTCCCTTCACAGCAGTCCATCCGTAGTCCCCACGGATACCTTCGTACACTTGAAGGGCATCTTTACTGGCACTGACGAAGCATTAGACACCAAAGACGTCGAACACCACATCGACACCGTATCCCCACGCACGCCAGCTCTTATCGCCGACAATGATCTCGTTATCGAAAATGCTCCGCCTGTCGAAAATGCTCTTGCCATCCGCAATGTTCCCTCTCATCCGCCAACCTTTCGGCCACTTGCTCCGCTCGATAGCTTTCCAATGTCGCTGTGTACCAAAATTGACACTAACCCTTCTGGATCCGCCCGACCCACTGACGTGCTAGCTCACAAGACCAAGGCTGCTGCCTCCTGGCTAAAGCCCCTGATACTCGTTACTAAATATGCCGCTGATCGACTCATCCCTCTACCTCTCACAGCGCTTCCTGAGAAGTCGCGCCCATATAAACTGAAGCAGCAGAAGGTACGGGCATATTCATTGTCAGGCTTGGTATGTCACTCATCATACTTCATTAGCGCAAACCTGCTAGATCTTTGCGAATGGACTCTGCTTGCCACAGCATCGTGCGTTCTCGCCTCCGGCGACATGCCCACAGGATTGGTCAGTCATTTCTCTTTGTACTGTA